TTTTTCACTTATTTGAATTTTGAAAATGGTGCATCAAAAGTTCACAAAATAATCACAATTTCTTGCGAGAATTGGTCACTTTTAATGTTAACTCAATCGCTATTTAAAAATGCCTCAATTAATCTTTTTATTTACTACGGTAGGCATAAAAATTGTACATGAACTTCTAACGGATTTTCCCAATTAGATTCCGGTCTTCTATTTATTTGTACCGGACTCAAGCCCAAAGAATCCGGATTTTTTTCGAAAAACAGAATATTTTAGTGACAATGTAAAAATAGCGATTTTGGATTTCGAAGTACGTCACAAACTCAAAACAAATACAAAAATAACATTCCTAACAATTCTAGAGAAGATGCCTCCGTCACGGGTCCGCTACCGCGGGATTGGGTCCATGATGGATCGTAAGCGTTGTGTGTGGGAATTTATTCCCCGAGGACATGCTGAAGGTTGAATCAAAATTGTGCTGAAGTAACGCAGTTCTTTTTTATGTTTTTTGGAAGTGCTTCCTATTTATCAATCACAACTCCAATTTCATCAAGAGTCTTGTCCAGAACGTCAAGGTTGAAAACATCCGCATCCACACTGTTGTCGCCGTCCGTCTTGTAGCTTTATCGAAACAACGTACCGTACACGTCAAGTCGAGCAACAAACCAGTCTTGGTAGTTGTCTGCAAAGCCAGCACTAATGATGGAGTTAACGACAGCGTCTCCATCGGTCTGTGCCTATGCCTTACGACCCCATGAGCATACTGGCGGCCTGGGATCGCCATATTTGGTGTATCTCACCTGGTCATTCTCCTAAAAATGTCCTTGAAGTATCAATAGATGCCGATATCACCAGCCTGAAGATAAGGAGTGAGTCCTCCAGGAATTACACACATCTTGATGTCGCGCGTCTGACACTTTGCCTTGACTTCCTTCGAGATATGAGCTCTCATTGAGTCCCAAATCAAAAACTTTCCATTGCTGACATTTACCATAGGGAACTGCAAATCGATCCAGCGCTTGAGCAGCGAATCGTCAACCCACGCCTTCTTCTGGTACGTGACGTACACTCCATCAATTTTCTCAAAGCTGACAAGGCCAGCTCCTTTCCAGATCAAGATTGGTGGCAGATTCTTGCCGGCTGCGCTCACCGCAAGAATGACAGTGATGCGCATGGATGCAAACCCTGTTGAGCGA